ACACACACACACACACACACACACACACAATAACGAGAATAGAAGATGTAATAGAACAATTGGCCTTTGCTGGGATCAGCCCTCTTTCGGACCGTCTTGTACGTGAATGCCCATCAAATATGGGAGAAAAAGGGCAACCCTGCGCCTCGAGAACCGAGGGAGGGATCGCTAATGCCTGTCAGACTTCGATCGACGTCTACGTCAACGCCTCTTGGAGGGGCCAATGAAAATCTTGCAACGTCTTTTGGTTGGGCCATTCTGCAATGCCCCTTTACCTGGCGTTCGCACCAACCTGGCAAGACTGATCAAAAGTGGATTATTCTTTCCGGCTGCCGGGCCAACTGGCAGGCATCACATTATATCCTCTCTTTGGTCAATCCCAGGGCAATAACTGGCCGAGAAGTCTCCGCCTTGCCTATCTACACTCTTGATGTGCGCTTGAACACACATTTGCATGACTGCCATGGCAACTTTAGGATATAGACGACAGACCGTACTTCTCTCTTTGGTCCTGATAAAAATGTTGCGAATGGCTCCAGACGAAGACCGGCATAAAAATGTGCTAAATAGGGCTTCTAGTCACCCAAGCTCGGCTGCGTTCATTAAGAACCGATAGTCGAATTTTCCCATGTTGCCATGGAGATTTCATCGGCCTAGCTACCCCAAAGGGATTCTCATCCCGGCAGGAATGGACTGCGGTTTCGACCTCGCTTCAACTGATCTCATCAGCACGCTCAGCTGGAATCAAGCCACGATCTCGACATGGTACCACTGCGTCACATTTTCACAAATGGCCATACGTGAATCACACATTTTAGCGTCGCATTGTTGATAAGGCAAACGTGTATTTTTTCATTTTTCGTTTCCGAGGCTACCAGTAAATCGTGGATAAGAATTGTATTCACTCTATTATGTTTCCAGTGATGAAGAGCTGAATGTTGCATTTTCCCATAATCCCAAAAGTAGGCCGCCTTTGTATTTTGTCATTATACTCGACCATATTACTTGTATCACATGTGCCCACCCTGTTTCGTTTAGTGTGATGAAGGACCGGCAGTTGAATTTTCCCACAATCTCATGAGTAGACCCTACGTTTTCATTCAATTTCAGATATCCTTGCTTGCCATAAAGATATTCTCATCCATACTGTGATGGAATGCAGTTTCAATTTCGCCTGATCCGGTCTTTTTAGCACCTTCAGCGGGACTCGAACCATGATGGTGCAGTGTGCAAATCCCACCACACACTATTATGAGTGCTCTTGGCTCACAGGGCAGATGTGCATTTCAAAGAAGACCAGACCACATTCTGTGGTGAGATTGTCGATGGAGAAACCTTATATTTGCTATTTTAATAGACGATATTACTTATCTTGACGAACTTGTTTGACGCTGTAGATGCTGATGCGATCAGTTCAGGCGAGTTTGAAACTGCAGTCATGTCCAGTGAAATTGAATGGACTAGAACTTGAGTGTAAATACGAAGAATAACTGGGTTTCGATAAATCTCCTGACATACCATGTTTTGGCAGATGTTCATTTCGTATGAAAGTGCATGAAGAGACTCGAGTCTTGATTTTACCAGAAGACAACGACTGATTCACATTGTACTGCAGCCGTTTGGTTTTTGTGTCACATTCAGGTTGACGTGGTTCGGGTGAAAACGGACTCATCTTTAGTTTCATTAAAGCCAAACGGCTGCAGTACATTCATACGAAATGGAGGTCTCCCCAACAATAGAACTTTGTGGACAACTGTCATAAATGTCGGTTCACGGATCCTCGGGACTGCTGCCGAGGGTCGACGGTCAACTGGTACCTTTACCCCACCCGCTGGGCGGAAGAGACGGACTCGCAGCCTCGACCCCGTTCCTGCAACGGGAGTCGAATCGAGCCGGGCGCAGAGAGGCTGAGAGACGATCAGTCCGTCTTTTTCGTGGCTTCCGCAGTCTTCGTCAGGCTCGACTGGGTGGAGGGAAGCGGCTTTTTCTGGAATGATTGACTGATGATGATCGTCATATCGCGTTGTTAAGGTCACCGGCCTGGCCAGCTCCAGAGACGAGCGAGAGAGAGTGGGACGCAGATTGGCCCTGAGCTTGGACGTTGTGTCCGGCGAAGACGGTTGATGAAAAATCAATCAGCCTGGCCGAATTCCTCTTGTCACCACAACCCTCGTGCCCTGCGGACGTTCGGAGAGGAAGGCTGTACGTCAGAGGCCTCGACCGGCGCCTCGGCTACCGACGGTACCACAACAGGTTGCCATGTCGACAGCCGTCGAGTCAAATCGGTGGCTGGAGTCATTTGTGCGCAAGCCTTTGCTGCACGACGGCCGTCACGACGTTAATCATGAGGTTATTGTCTCTCTCGGGCTGAACACGACGGATGATGTGGCTGTAGGCGCATTGCTCTGAGTCACGACGGTCATCTGTTGCTGCCCGTCAACCGATACAGCATCCTCGAAAGTTCATCTTTTTTTAGCGCCGACCAAAGTGTCCCCTCGAGATTCCCTCCTCATTACCGCCTCGTTCCCTTGACGCATGGATCGGGATCTCTTGAGCTCGAACACCGGCTTTCGTGAGGGAAGATGGTTTGTATTCGTTTAGTGTAGGGTTTAATATTATTCGTGGATCTTGAACAGTCGTTCCATTCAGCCCAAGTTGCTGGGGCTTGCAAAGGACTGCTTGTTGGTATCTGACTTTCTCCTACAATCACATGAGTTCAGGCAAAGTTGAAACTGCAGTGCATCACAGTATGGATGAGAATTGAATAAAAACGTAGATTCAGCTACCCGTCCTTCATCACAGCTTCGACAGTACTGTGGCGTGGTGACGGGTCGAGATTGTGCACTGTACCAGCACAATTTGGGTTCAAGTCTTGCCGAGGGCGCGGATGAAACCGGCTCGGGTGAGGTCGAAGTTGCAGTCCACTCCAGCCTGGCTGAGGATACATTTGGTGAGGTAGGATTATGTGAAATGAAATAGAAAGGTCAGGCTTATTCATACGATTGTGGGTGAAATGTAACTATCATTTATTCATCAACATATTGCGATCCCGAATGAATGGGACTCTGTTTTAAGATGATTTCAACCGGAGGAGCGTGTAGGGATGATGGCATCCAAGAGAACCAATCCAATAAAAGCAAGCGACGACATGTGGTACAGCTGGGTTTCTCTTGGATTAGTATATCATTGCGTTATTTCGTAAGGTATACTTTCTTACTCTCATCATGTCGATCACGACGAAAGAGACGAAAGCTTAACACGGATACATCGGACTCACAGGACGATGAGTTGAAAATACCTCTGTACAATTCATCAGCCTTCAATCGAAGGTATGAAGACCAAGATGGTATGGTATTTTGTGTGGTTGCAGTCTCCTTTCGTTGTATACAAGTTGTTGGACCTTATTTTCGCAACTTGGTCAAATTGGTATGATGACTCAGAGGAACGCACCCAATCCGGAGTCCATTGTCTGCATCATTATTTCCAAAGTCGGACAATGGAGGTGGTACATTCCCAGACGTTGCTCCGGCATCGTAGACGAGTCTCTTGGACGGGTTGTTGTATGGTGCTAAGAATGGCGATACTCACTGACGATGCCGGCGAAACGTCTGGAAATGTACCACGTCCACCGTTCGACTGTGGAAATGATGATGCAGACAATGGACTCCGGATTAGGTGCATTCCTCTAAGTCATCATACCAATTTGACCAAGTTGCGATAACAAGGTCCAACAACTTGTATGCAACGAAAGGAGACTGCAACCACACAAAAGACCACACCATCTTGGTCGTCATACCTTCGATTAAAGGCTGATGGATTGTACAGAGGTCTTTTCAACTCATCTTCATGTGATTCCGATGTATCCGTGTTAAGTTTTCGTCTCTTTCGTCGTGATCGACATGATGAGAGTAAGAAAGTATACCTTACGAAATAACGCAACGATATACTAATCCAAGAGAAACCCAGTTGTACCACATGTCGTCGCTTGCTTTCATTGCATTGGTCCTCTTGGATGCCATCATCCCTACACGCTCCTCCGGTTGGAATCCTCTTCAAACAGAGTCCCATTCATTCGGGATCGCAATATGTGGATGAATGATTGATAGTTGAATGTTACCCACAATCGTATGAATAAACCTGACCTGATCCTACCTCCCCAAATGTATCCTCAGCCAGGCTGGTGTGGACTGCAACTTCGACCTCACCCGAGCTGATGAGACCAATTCATGTATTCCTTCCAGCCAACATGTAGTTTTTATGCCTCAAAAGTACAGCAACAAGCGCCACGACTTACACCAACTCGTCCACCACTCCTGCTTGACCCGTCTTTAGCATAAGCATTAGCTTTCGGTTCGTCTCTGATTGTATCTTGATGCGGATTAGATGAGATGGTCTTCAATTCTGAATTGTTGTCCTGAGAAGATCGTCCAACCGATCAAGCCAAGTCCGGACCGATTTGGTGCCATTAATTTGTGGGAAGATTAAGGATGGCAACTTGATTAATTGCAACTCGATCTGGATTCCCGACTCTGATATATTAACTTGTTTCGGACGGTCTAAGCATCAGATTCGACGGAGCCACGAGAAATTTCCTTCCAAAGACAGTAAAGATCTCGGCTTCTTCGAAGCTACCGAAGGATGGGGGCAGAATAATGTTGTTTAGTATGTGAAATTGCCCCATTTGAACCCTCTCCCAGCCAGAATGAAGCTGGGGTTGGCTAGTAAAGAACCAATGTCTAACCTCGAGTCTATCGGAAGGCTAGGGCTCGGATGATAGGGTAAATATTTCCACTTTTGACATTTCACGCACGACGCAAGCGATGGGAATGTGCAGAAAGCGGTTGATTTCACCTTTCCTCCTTTCCCATAAATTAAAGTGTGTATGATTAAGAGCTTCGAAGGTTGCTTTCATCAGAACACGACTTCATATTCCTCTTTGTCAGCTGTCTCGGTTGGCTTTATAATAACATTCTCATTCGACTGCGGTGAAAATTTGCCAAGTTTTCGTTGGTCGGATGACTAACATCATCAAATCAGGCTATAAATCATACAAATACCTTCAGACAAATAAGTTAAAAAAACAATTTACTGACGAAGGTTTGGTACGTTTTCACCGGAATCGAGCGTCAACAGAATCTTCCAGAAGAGCAGATCGACGGCTGGCCAAGAGGAATCCGCTGCCGTCTTTCGGTGGGATTCATCCTCAGTTCTCTTCATCACATATTTCAAATTGAAACCCAACTCTTCTTGACATATTTGCTTTATCTATTTCGGGAAGGTCGGAGAGGGAGCAATGTAATGGCTAAACACACTCACGCGTCAACTCTCTCTATGGCGTTCTTTCCTGCGAGACTCTTCATATGCATTCATAGCACTAATCTCACACCGAATGAGATTTTACTGACATCTGAACCTTCGGGGACTAAATGTCGATTTGACGATCGTAGCATTTCGACCTAAAATCTGGTCCAAGAGGTTTTCTCTTTCATACCCCATTTGCCTTAACGGTGGCAACTGAGCTCAGGCTATATGCACTCAATGGCGAACACAATCCATTCGATCGTGTGATCATAGCATCACTTGGCCTGAGAACGTGTGCGCTTCTCTGTTAGGCTGGAGTCGACACGAATATCACAACAGGACTGTAACACTTTGCTTCCTACACCAAGAATCCTTTCATACCATCAAGAGTTATGCTTTCTGCCTAATTTGATAATTTATAAACTTTCTTTGGCCAAAAAAGAGTGCATTATTCTGGGCTTTTGTCCATCTCTAAAAGACATGACGATCTTCATTTAGCTTTAAGGCGAATTATGATTATTTCAGACAAGCAATAAGTCCTATCGACGTCATCAATTTCGTTTTCGTCTACTCTATTCTTAGGCGCAATCATCTCAAGCACTTTATACAGACAAGCCAAGTTATTTCCATAACCTTTCTCAAATCATCTTCTCGGTTGATATACACAATTTCCATGCCGATGTCTGCTGAGACAACAACTTAAATTCACAACTCGGTTAAGAGGGATAATCCAAGTATCACTCCATAAAGCTCATTTACCTCCCTTGCGTATGTGTGTGTTTATAGCTTAAGGTATTTACCGCCAGGCTTGTACGTATGCTCCAATTTCTGTTCCCATGGCTTTGCGCTGTTAAGCCCTATTTCCAAGACCTTGTTTACAGACTGCTTTGGGAGAAGACGTCCCGAGCTGGGCTCATTTCTACTCTCCTTCGATGTTTCTCCAGCATCATAGTCAGCACCATTTCCAACTCACCCCACTGACAAGTCAATTATGGCTACATTGGCCTCCAGAAGATAGCCATTATTTGTCTGAGCTCTATTCTACTTCCAATGGCACTACTCGCAAAGCAAATAAGTAGTTGAACCATTAAATATTTTGCTATTTGTCAAACTCATTGAGCAATCTGCTTGAGGCCTGACGGGCAATGATGTGCTTAGCTGTTGCAGTTACCCGCTTGAGAAATTAGCCCTCACCATCTACTCACTAACAAAGGCTTCCTCTATGCTCACCTTTCCATCAACCTAACAGAACCATAAAGAGGGCTTTTCTTTTGTCGTCCAGACGCAATTAACTTCGACTCTGAGGGCAGACTGCCTGACAAAAATGACCTCTTTTTGCATCCAATTTCCTCCAACTTGCGGTCATGTCTGCAGCTCACGTATCCGTCGTTGGGACAGTTTCTGCCTGCCAGTCGGTGGAACAGGATTGAGCTGATTGCCAGGCAAGATCCGCCTGCTTGATCCCCGCGACGGATACGAACCGTAGGAGAGGGGGACACTGCCTCTTTGGTGGCAAGTCGAGATGCGAGAAAGGGGAGTAAGCGACCAGAAGACGGGATACTGTGTATGTGTGTTAGTTGGAGATTGGTGAAGACGAGAGCGAACCTGAGCAGATGGGAATAGATGAGAGAATAAGGTAGTGATACAGTTCGACGGAGGGGAAAGGAGCAGTCGAGGCTGGGCCTGACACTTTTGGGTCATCTTGTCAGACGCAAACTATCAATAACCATCAGGCTATGGGTTTCAGTCGGGCAGCCCAAACGCCATTGTATGATGGGCATTTGGAGGAGAGGAAGCATCAAAAAGGGAAGATGATGGCAAATATGGAAGCAAAGGAGCTGAGCTCTTTTCGCGCCTGCCACGCAAACAATATTACACCTCTTGCAGCCGTCTGTGTCTGCACAACCACAGCATCGGTCTCCGTGCCGGTCCAGTGGCATCTTCG